TAATGTAGCGACCCAGGCTCTTCTGAATATTTTTGTCCTCTCAAAGTAAAATCTTAGTGTATTTTGAAATTGCGCTCAGAAGCACCCTAGTGACCTGAAAGAATTAAATGAAATGTCTTTGTTAAGCACTAAAGGAATCAGATTTTTTAAATAATGAAAAACCCAATAAAGTAATATGAGCTTGCTATAAATTTAAAATGACATAACTAGATACAGTAAAATTTAAAGCTTCTTACTCTGTATCCCATCTTTATTTTCACTGCCAATTCTTAGGTTAAAAAAATTTTTTTTTAGAGAGAGCAGGAGAGAGGCAGAGGGAGAGAGAGAGTCTTAAGCAGGCTGCATGCTGCGCATAGAGCCTGATGCGGGGCTTGATCCCACGACCCGGGGACCATGACCCGAGTTGAAATCAAGAGTCAGATGCTAAACTGACTGAGCCACTCAGGCGCCCCTGTTAGTGACATATTAATCCATTAATCCTGGTCCTTTCCTTCATTCTTTCTTTCCTCCCTTCCTTCCTCTCTCCCTCTTTTGTATATACTTATATTTATATAAATGTATGTGTATACATATACATGTATATACACATCCATGCATATATTCACATATATGAATATAAGTTTCTTTTGATAATAAAATGGGATACATTCCCTAATGGTAAAACAGAGCAAATGGCTCTAGCATTAATGGGTATTTACAAAGTAGTTTTAATTTTTTTTAATGTTTATTTTATTTTTGAGAGAGAGAGAGCACGAGCAGGGGAGAGGCAAAGAGAGAGGGAGACAGAAAATCCCAAGCAATCTCCGTGCTGTCAGCGCAGAGCCCAGTGTGGGGCTCGAACTCATGAAACCATGAGATCATGACTTGAGCCGAAAGCAAGAGTTGGACTCTTAACCAACTGAACCACCCAGGCGCCCCTACAAAGTCATTTTTAAATCAAATTTTGCTAGACCTAAAAAAAAAGTAATCTCTGGTTACCAGCAAGATTTAACTGTTATTACTTTATGCCTTCTGTAGAAAAGGAATAGTTAGCTAATTTGTTTTACAGGGACAGAGTGTAAATCACCATTTTAAGAATGATTGAGAAGAGTTTTTAAATCCCAGTTTGCAGAGTTAACAGGTACATATCAAATTACATTAATGGGAAAAGATCAGGAGAGACAATGCATTATTTAGATGGGAGAAGAAAACAGATGGTGGGAATAGGAAGGTCATAATTCAAAGCAACCTTGCCAAATTAGTGGACACAATGGCAGCAATGTTAGAAATGAGAACAGAAGGAAATGAAAGGATCCTAGATGCGGCTTGCTTAGTAGCTTCTAGGTCTTTCCCACGGAGAGTGCTTTTGGCAGCTCACCGGATACCTGCCTATCTCGCACACGTTTTTCTTCCTTCATCTCCCTTATCATTATGTTTCAAGAACACTGTTCTTTAAGAACAAGTTAAAGGACCAAACCTTGAGTGTTTCTCTCTTCTAGATAGGCTGCATATATTATCTCATTTAATCTCATACCAGCTCATCTACATTTTATAGATGAAGACTTTTATAGACAAGAACTCCACTTTTAAATGGAAGAACTGTACCCGGAATTGGGGTCTGTCTGATCCTTTCTTAAAAAGCTATAACGTAACCTCTTAGAGAGTTTATCCTAACTGCACAGTCTCACCTGTATTGTTCATGCAATGCAAGCCATTTCCTTTCTTTATGTTACTATGAAAGATGGAAAACTTCTTCCAACCTATCATGTATTGGAAAACATCTTCTTTACCATGAACTCGATCTGACTATCTTTTTCTAACTTGGCTAGCTTGAGCGGAAAATTAATCTCTCTTGTGCCGCTTATCTACTCTTTCTTGCAATTAAGAAAAAAATTGTTGTATCCATGAGAAATAGATGCCGTTCAACTAATCTCTCCTCTTTCCTTCCCTCTAAAATCCCTAAACGGGATTTTTTCTAGCTCAGATTTTTTCTAGCTCAGATTTTCACTTAGTATCCAAGGTAGAGGAGTCATGATAGCCGCCAATCTTGCAGCCTGAGTTTTCTTTTAAGCGGTACCATATTTTAAATGCACCAGAGTGATGGACAGACCACTGGGTGTGGTGCAGTTTTTGAGATGGTCCTTGAATTCACGTGTGTCCCAACCTTGAAGGTACACAGACTAAATAATGAGCCATATATATCTGCACCACTGTTTTTCAAACATGTAAGGATTCTGTTGCCATTTAGTACATACAAATCCATTGGAAGTGTTATTGAATTCATAACATATATTCATTATGTCTTTCCCAGCCAACTGCAATGACTGTTAGGTGAGAGTTTCCATGAACATTTCTTGACATTTAAAAGTTGGAAAACATCATATTAGAATATTTTCTATTATAGAAAAATTCTGGAAGGATTTGAAGAATAATTTTGTAAAGTGACTGTTTTACCACCTAACTTACCTTATGGATAAATGCAGGTTTTGATGTACAACGTTCTAATTGACTATGGATAGAAAGCTCTGCATTGGGGCACCTGGGTGGCGCAGTCGGTTAAGCGTCCGACTTCAGCCAGGTCACGCATCTCAAGGGGAGTTCGAGTCTCCGGCCAGGCTCTGGCTATATTGATGGCTCAGAGCCTGAGCCTGTTCGATTCTGTGGCTCCCTCTCCCTCCCCATTCATGCTCTTGTCTCTCTGTCTCAAAAATAAATAAACGCCAAAAAAAAAAAAAAAAAAAAAATTAAAAAATAAAGAAAGCTCTGCATTTCCTTAGTTATCAGTCTGTCACGTGAATCATTACGTTAGACATTTTGCTTTATTCATATTTCTCATTGTGACCATATATCGCAAATGAAGCAGAATCAGATGTGGCCCAAAGTTAAAATGAGTTCATTGGCCATGACTGAGCTGTAGAGTTCTCCCTAATTCCCAAGCCTCGGCCCTATTGTAATATCATATTTATTAGCTGCAGTGAGCTAGGATAATAGATTATTCTGATTGCCACGCTTCCTTTTCTTTTTTTAAAAAAAATATTTTCATTACAAATTCTATACTTTTACATGGGAAATTTGAAAATGCTTGAATATATAGAGGTTAAGAAACTGTGATTCTTGGGGCACCTGGGCGGCTCAGTCATTTAAGCATCTGACTTCAGCTCAGCTCATGATCTCACAGTTTGTTGTGAGTTCGAGTCCCGCATGGGGCTCACTGCTGTCAGCAAGGGACCTGTTTTGGATCATGTGTCCCCCTTTCTGTCTACCCCTCCCCAGCTCGCACTCTGTCTCTCCCAAAAGTAAACAAATAAGCATTAAAAGAAAACGAATTGTGATTCTACAACCCAGAGATACTGCTACTCTTAAAATTTTTGTTACATTTCCTTATGATCTTCTTGCAACATCTGTCTAGATAATATACGTAACTTGAATGATACCATATGTAATTTGCGTGACCTCTTTTCTTTCACCAGCTTGATTCTGTGTACTTATGTTTTCCAGCTTTCTATGATATGTATAGATAGCCATTTACATGTCCTGCATCTGTTTTGTTTTGTTTTTTGATTCTTACGATCATCTAAGCGGCTGTATTTTGGGGGAAGGGAATGCAGCAGGGGCGGTCCATTAAATTATTAGGGGTTAGGATGAAGTCGAAAAGTCATTAATTACCTGAACACTTGGTTTTACAGGTTTTAAAAAAAATTTTTTAATACATTTATTTATTTTTGAGAGACAGAGCACAAGTGGGGGAGGGGCAGAGAGAGAGAGGGAGACACAGAATCCGAAGCAGGCTCCAGGCTCCCGGCTGTCAGCACAGAGCCCGACATGGGGCTCAAACTCACTAACCTCGAGATCATGACCTGAGCCAAAGTCAGATGCTTAACTGACTGAGCCACCCAGGTGCCCCAGGTTTTACAGCTTTTAAATAGACACTCTTTTCATTTTTTTCTAGCTAGTTGCCTTTATTGCAGTATTTTTGGAACGGATAACAAGTAAGTGTGTTTGGAAAAAATCATTCAGGAGATATTTCTTAGCCATCTTACCGACTTAGAAATATTCCGTTACTTGAAATGACATTTAATTCTTCTTTTTTTTCTGGCTCAGATTCTCACTTTCTGTCCAAAGCAGAGGAGTCCTCCAATCTTGCATCTATGTTAAATGAAGAACACTTTTTTTTTTTAAAGGCATTTTCATTTTTTAAATTAAAAAATTTTTTTAAGTATTGTATTTTGAGAGGGAGGGTGGGGAGGAGCAGAGAGAGAGGGAGAGAGAGAATCCTCAGCAGGTTCCGCACTGACAGGCTCCACTACCCCGGGGATCATGACCTGAGTGCAGATCAAGAGTCGGACGCCTAACCGGCTGAGCCACTCAGGCGCCCCTAAAGGCCTTTTTAAAGAATTGGATGAAACTTTACTTCTTGAAAGTAGTAAAAATTGCAGGGGTGCCGGGTGGCTCAGTTAGTTGAGGGTCTAACTTGGGCTCAGGTCATGATCTCACAGTTGGTGAGTTCGAGCCCCACGTCCAGCTCTGTGCTGACAGCTCCGAGCCTGGAGCCTGCTTCGGATTCTGTGTCTCCCTCTTGCTCTCTGTCCCTTTCCCACTCATGCTCTGTCTCTCTCAAAAATAAAAAAAATAAGAATGTTAAAAAAATTAAAGTGGTAAAAATTGCAAAACAGAATAGTTAACCATCCAGGTCTTCCTGATGATCATGTATTCTGATTTCTCCATTTTATTATTTATTTACTTTTTATTTTTTAACATTTTTTTTATTTTTGAGAGACAGAGAGACAAAGCACGAGTGGGAGAGGGGCGGAGAGGGAGACACAGAATCTGAAAGCAGGCTCCAGGCTCTGAGCTGGCAGCACAGAGCCCGACGCGGGGCTCAAACCCATGAACCGAGAGATCATGACCCGAGGTGAAGTTAGACGCTTAACTGACCAAGCCACCCACGCGCCCCTGATTTCTCCCTTTTAAAGCTAGAGACCAAGAAACATAGCCTCCCACACCTCTGTTTGTCATACTAGGGAAGAGGAAATCCTGCTCTCGCAAGTTAACCAGGGATGGGGTTCACCCGCCTTCTGCCCGAAGGCAGAGCGTGTGGCCGCCATTGCTGTGGCTGAATTCAGCAACATGCGATTAAAATTAAGTGGTTTCCTTAAAACGAAAATTGAGAAGCAAGAAGGTAGCAGGCTGATGGCCTTTGAGGCTGGTGGATGCCTTCAGGGGCTTTGCTGCACTGTTCTGTGCGTGCTGAAACACATGGTCAAAGAACCAGGCACAAGAAATGACGAATCCTTTTGAGGAGCACAGAGGTGAAATAACCTGTACCAGTGGGTTTTGCACACCCGTTCTGGACTGTCTGCACCAGAATCACCGGGGCATTGGTTAGAAATACGCTTCCTGTGATCTCATACAGATGCACTGAACAGAATCTACAAGGAGGGGGGTGTCTAGGAATCTGCCATTGTAACAAACTCCCCAGACGATTTGGATGCGTGGTTAAATATGGATACCATGGATTGAACCACAGCATGGGAGCACCTTGGCCAAATTACGTTTTCCTGCTCTTTTTCTCTCACTGAAGATTAAAATACAGCTCTGTCCCTTCCCCTTCGTTCATTCAACAGACATTTATTGAGGTCTTATTAGGTGCCAAAGTGCCAGGGAAATGAGGGCTTATGTAAGAGTCCTTGCCTCATGGGTCTTACAGTCTGACAGGTATTTTGAAACTTGAGGGAGAGAAATAAAGCAAGGTAGTGGGATCCAGGGGCTCACTCCCCCCACTAATATACCTTGCACTAAAAAATATACCATGGCAAACTAAGGTCCCTCCCCAACCCCCCGCTCCAGTAATCCTTCCTCAAAGAGGTATTTGAGCCTCAAACAAGTTACGAGTAATAACTCCAAGAAAATATTCCCTGTCTTTGATCAGTCCAGTGCTATTTCTAACCTTAACAGAATTTTAAACATCTTATCATGTGCTTTACTTTAAAAAGTTATTTATTATATGGGGCGCCTGAGTGGCTCAGTCAATTAAGTGTCTGACTCTTTTTAAAAATAAAAAAATTTTTTAAATGTTTATTCATTTTTGAAAGACAGAGAGAGACAGAGCACAAGCAGGGGTGGGGTGGAGAGACAGGGGGACACAGAATCTGAAGCGGGCTCCAGGCTCTGAGCTGTCAGCACAGAGCCCAACACAGGGCTCAAACTCACGAACCGTGAGATCATGACCGAAGGTAAAGTCAGCCGCTCAACTGACTGAGCCACCCAGGCACCCCATGTCTGACTCTTGATTTCAGCTCAGGTCATGATCTCATGGTTAGTGAGTTTGAGCCCCAAGTTGGGCTCTGCGCTGACAGTGTGGAACCGGCTTGGAATTCTCTGTCTCCCTCCCTGTCAGCCCCTCCCCCACTCGTGTGTGTGTGTGTGTGCGCGCGCGCTCTCTCTTTCTCTCTCAAGATAAATAAACATTTAAAACGTTATTTATTATACAAAGTTACAAACATATACAAAAGTAAAGAGAACAGTATAGTAAATCACTGTGTACCCATCACCCCGTTTCAGCCATTTTTGTTATATAGCCAAACTTGTGACATCTGAATGTTCACCCTTCCTTCCCACCTTGGATAACTTTCATCCTATCATTTCACAGGGAAATACCCCAGATTGTATCTCTAAAAGATTTGGGCTCTTTTTTCAGACATAACCAGTGTTATACTGTCTAAAATCAGAATTCCTTAATAACATCAAATATCCAGTCAATGTTCACATTTCCCCAATTGTCTTATAAAGTTTTTGTGTCATTTTTTTAAATCAGGATCCAAATAAATTCTAGTCAGTGCAGTTGGCTGATACATCTCTTAAGTAACTTTGTCTCTTAATCTTTTTTTTCCCCTTGCAGTTTTTTATTGTTGTTATAGAAGTCAGATTTGTCCTGTAATTTCTCATAGTCTAGACTTTCCTGATTGCATCCCTAAGATGTTATCTGCATTCTCTGTAAACTGATGGTTAGATCTGGAGGCTCTATCATCCTAATTTTTTTTTTTAGAAGCTTATTTACTTAGAGAAAGAGAGAGAATGAGCTGGGGAGGGGCAGAGAGAAAGAGAGAGAATCCCAAGCAGGTTCCACGCTGCCAGCATTGAGCCTGATGCAGAGCTCGAACTCATGAACCGTGAGATAGTGATCTGAGCTGAAAGCTAGAGTCGGCTGCCTGTCTGACTGAGCCACCCAGACTCCCCCTGGCCGGATTCGTTAAGCACATTTTAGTTACACCATGGAACGTGTATCTGATGTGCCAGGGTACAAACCACTGAGGGATTGGCGTAATGGTGGCAGACCATCACCAGTGAGTAAGAGCGAGGAAAGTAAACATTTATTTGTAAATAAAAGTAAGCTGTGTACAGCCACAGGTCCCAGTGCCTTCTGTATGCTTGCACATAAATTGGAGTGCTGTGTTGTATGTGGGGTATTAGTCCCATTTTCACATGTGGAAACTCTGTTTCAGAGAGCTCATGACCTGCTTGTCTCTTACAGGTAGTGGGTGGATTCAGGATATAAACAAGGGCCTATTTATCTTAAAGTGTATCATTCTCTTGCCTGTGTACACATGGGGCTGTAGAGCCAAGCGGGCATTGTAAAGGGGGACAACTGACCTGACAATGAAAAAAGAAGGAACAAAAAAAGCGATAGCCCATGGGTGATGCTAAGTGGCACTTTCGTTGGCCTCCGTGTCAGGGAGTGGAGGGGACAGTGGAGAGGACCCCCTCCTCAGCTCCAGTCTTGATGTCACACGGGAATGTGTGCCCAGTGTTGGCAGATCTTTTTTGAGATTTCAGAAGTCAAGTGTCTGAATGTCTATGAAAAATCTCTAGAATTGAAAATGTTCTATTTTTTAGTTGGTTTTTTTTTTTTTTTGAAAGAGAGGGCACGAGTGAGTGAGAAGAGAGAGGGAGAGAGAGAGAGAGAGAGAGAGAGAGAGAGAGAGAGAGACTTCCACGCAGGCTCCTGACTGTGAGCATAGAGCCCGACGTGGGGCCCAAGCTCACAAACCGCGAGATCATGACCTAAGCCAAAGTCGGATGCTTAGCCGATTGAGCCACCCAGGCGCCCCTAGAATTAAAAATGTTAGCTGCTAATTCAGATTAAACAAACAAACAAAACAAAACACTATCTAGGACAACACCCTGGGCCAAACCAGACAAATGTGCCGCCTGCCGCCCCGTCCCTCCTCATGCTGCTCTGAGTATGTCGGTTGAAGATTGGTTCTGCAGACGGCAGCGGGCAAGTGTCGCAAGGACGAGTTGCCCCTGAAATTAAAGAAAGGGGGTATTAAGTAGCTCTTAAAAGGCATCTACTGGCAACGAGGCAAATCTTCAAACGATGAAAGAGCATTTAATACTTCAAGGAAAAAGCCAGTTTCTGAAGTCTGAACAGATCAGACGTTAACAGAGGAACGGCCCTCCTCATCCGTGTACCTTTTCTCATCCTCGTGAGGCTCGAGCCCTTACGGTGGCCCACATGGTGTTCTGAGCACTTGGTAAGTATTTGCAAGTCTCTGCTCATTTCAGCCCTCACCATAACCCTGTCGTTACCCCGTCAGAGAAAGGTGACACGGGCCTGAGAGTCACACCAAGCTTGGCCCCAAAGCCTGCTTACTTAACAACCTATATGGTCTTTCTTTTGTTAAATCGTTCCTCATTCAAAGCACAGAGTATTAGAAGCTGGGATTTCCTGGCTCTGGACTCCCAAAGCATATGCCCCACTATCTTGAGCTTTCAACAAAACACTTAGTAGGGTATTTCTTTCAGGCAGAGCTCGATGAGCCTTTCATCAGCTTCTGTTAGCATTTACATCCAATGTCTAGCTAGAGAATTCCTTTCCTGAACACCTTATCTATTCTTTACCATTCCAACAGTAGATACCCGACAGAAAAACCAATTTGTAAGCGATTATTAGCATTTGTCCTGTTTTCAGTTCAGCAAGAATGTTGATCATTTAAAAAATGAATTTATCAGGAAATAAAATAACATCATAAAATAAGGTCTTCTTGGCTTTTCTGGAAGCCGGTAATTCACAGACACCGGATTTAAGCCTACCCGGTCCGTTCGGGAAAGCTGGGAGCTTGGGGAGTAAGGAAGCCTGGCCGGACATTTGGGTTTCGTTTCTGTGTGCAAGTAAAGGCACTTTGTCACAGTTACTTGCGAGACAGTTAATAAGCTTCTAGCTTGTAGAGGTAGTCATTTTCTTCCTCTCAGGCAGTTTAAGCCTCTCTTATTACTGGGTAAGGTGACTGATGAGGGACACTCAGGAGCTTCATTGGGATAAAAGGGCAGGGCAGTCTGGCAGTCAGGCGAAGAAAACCCCTACCCGGGCTCAGAGCATTCATGCCCTTCAGTAACAACTCCCTGAACTTGAGGACAAAGACCTCTTCTCGCTTGCGGCTTCCTCCCTCCTTGTCTAGACATTCTGCAAGTGGTCTCCTAGTTACAGGGGTGCGGTGCGCCAGCCCTGCATGCCTGTACCCAGCCTGTGGGCACCAGCCAGAGGGTGAAGGTGCAGATTCCGCCCCCCCCCTCATCCCCACCCCCTTCCTGTGCAGTTAACTCCAAGGAAGCTCAAATATCTTGTTCCCACGAGGAAGTCGGGACTCCTAAGAAAAGTTTGATAAGGAGGACAATGGTGGTTAGAAATTGAGCTCTGGGGGACCTCACCACAGCTGACAGCAGCAATCTCTAAAGCTGTGCACCTGCAGTACTGTGGCCTCTAGCCACATACGACCGTTTAATTAAATTTTTTAAATTGTGGTAAGATACACAGAGCATGAAGTTATCATCTTAACCATGCTGTTTAAGCGCACAGTTCAGTCATGTTAAGGATAGTCGCGTTGTCGTGCAACCAATCTCCAGAATTTTTTGTCTTGCGGGGCTGAAACCCTGAAACCCTATACCCATTCCCCCTCCCCCCACCCCTGGTAACCACCTTTCTCTATGAATGTGACTACTCTAGGGACTCATATAAGTGAGATTATATAGTGTTTGTGTGTGTGTGTGTGTGTGTGTGTGCGTGTGTGTGTGTGTGTGTGTGTGTGAGATGGGCTTATTTCACTTAGGGTAACATGGGCTATCTTAATTTTAAGTTAATTAAAAATTCAGCTCCTGACTTGCACTGGCCATATTTCAAGTACTCAGTAGCCCCATCTGGCTAGTGGCCACTGTATTGGACAGCACAAATACAGAACATTTCCATTATCGCAGACATTTTTTACTGGACAGGGCTCGTCTGAAGGAAGACAAGTGGCTTA